GCATTCTACCGTGGTTCAGTGTCTCCTAAAAGACCTGCAGGTGAGTGCTGTCCTCTGTGGCAGGGCTTCTCACAGTGAAAGGATAATGGGACCAAATGGGTGCAGGGCTGAGGCATTTGGATGTTGTCACTGCAATACCTGTGAGGCTGGTACAGTCTAAACGGCATACCTTAACTTACATTCATGTGCATTAAAAAGCATAAATTTAATGTGCGCAGACCCATGGAATGAATTCCTCTTTCTTTGCTACACAGCTGGGTAACTTCTTAGATAGCCAAGAAAAGTTTCCTAGCCTCCCCTACCAGGCTGTGCTGTTTTACAGAGGTGAAAGCTATCCCACCTTGAATTTCTCAATCCAAACTCCTAGAAGTCAGGTTAGAGAGAACCAGGAAGTATTTCACCCACCAAAGTGCTGAAAATGCTGAGTTTTGCCTGAAGCAGATATTGCTTTGCGTGAAGCAGATTCTAACTCTCGTGGTGTAGTTCAAGGGGGAGTGCTTTGGCTGTGCCTGCCTTTACTGCCAGCACCTCTCATAGCACCTAGTCATATTTTGCTGCAGCCAGAAAAGCTGTAAGACTTTGGAAGACTCTTTTTAAGGTGGTTTCTGCCAGAGCTCCTATCATACCCTTCCCATCAGACAAAAGTCTTTTTTACCCCACAGCTTATTTTGCCAGTTTAGACTCTTACAAATTCCTGTGATTTCAACAAAAGAATTTGTAAAATTAGCAACAGGAATTTTCAAAAAGAAGTCCAAAAATCAGTGAAAACCCAGTCTTATTAAATCCCAAAGCTTCTCTGAAAAGCCCAGCTGCTGTCCTTTTATTCAATTTCGAAAAGACTGCGTGGGGTCCAAACTGATAGGAGGAGCAGCTTTTCCCAGATCATGTGCCTAGCCACACAAGATTACTATTTCTTTGCCCAGGTGTCTACTGGGGAAAACTTAACTCTCTTCAGTAGAGATGGTTATCAATAACTACAATACATGTAGGAAAGCAGTGCCTGAAATACCTGATCTACATGAGAGATTTCTTTCCAACAGACAAGCAAAAGGGTACATTGAAAAGTAAACATTTTAATGAGGACACTTAATTTTCTACTCACTTCACATGACCGTATGTTACAAGAAAATAGTTGTTCTGCATCACTGTAAAGCCTGGCTAGTAAATACACGATTCACCGTTGTCTTGCATAGATGGGTATTTTTATGCTTGTGAAACTCCAATGTCCAATACAAAGCTTATTTGGTATACTGCAATATATTTTTATTGCTGTTTTTTCAGCACCTCCTTCAATTATTTCCAACTTCTAGGTGATTGTTGGTATCATATTCCTTCACCTCAAAAGCAGAAATTAAAACAAGTCTCAGTAGGAAGGACATCCGTGTTTGTGATGGATAAAAATGGTGAGTTGTTTTATTATTTATGTTACTAAATGACAAGCACTGAATGACCCAACAGAGGTCTGACTGTTTTAAAATGAGGCTCGGAGCCAGATATTCAACTGGTATAAATTGACATTGCTCTAATGAAGTCAGTGGACTATGCTCACCATGCAGTCCTCTGTCTGGGTAATCTCTCACATCTATGTTTGTATTTTCACATAGCTAATATCATGGGATATTTATACACATGGTCTGGGAGACTGTGTGCACGCATGTGGGGGGGGGATGCTTTAATTAGAGCAGCTTGGAGCGCCTCGCGTCTCAAGAGTCCCTGCACTTCAGAATGGCAGCGGAGGCACTTTATCTAAAGCTTGTTGAATGAACTTTCCATAAAGAGCTCCAGCCGCTTGAGGCTGATGAGATGTTGGAGGCTGCTGGAGCACGGTAATTGCCGCACTCCAGCAGACTCAATTAATCGAGTCTGCTCCAATGTGCTGTAATTACAACATGTCGGAGCAGCCTTGCTGCTTGTGTGTAGGCACCTATAGATAACATGGGATACTGCATGTGCAACGTTTGTTTAATTCTTTGCTGGACTTTCCTAAAGAAGAGTTTTGTACCTGAGGATCCCTGCCAGAAACCCAGAAGTGTGCAAAACAGCAGGAAGTGTAGTGTAACATTCAGAAAACCACACCAAACAAATTGGTCTATTGTCTAGAGACAAAATTAAAGTATTCTTTCAAGTTTTTAACAGTGCAACCTTCTTCCTGAGAGATTTCTTCTTCTTTGCTTTATTTTAACATCATTGGTACACCTTGTTCTTTATATAGATTTAGAATACAAGATCTTTTCCCCCAAGGAGGTCTACAAATTTGAGTTGTGCCATCCTTTAGGAATCTTGTAAAAGGATAAATTCCAAAAACATGAATTACATTTCTCTAATTCTTAACACATCGGGGGGGAAAATGCAACCAGATGCCCTAAAGCAGAAGTTAGCCATCCAGTACCTGGAGGGATTCTGCACTGTTTTGGTGGGGGTGGGAGTTGTGGAAGGGGCTTTAGTAGTACTGTTGCATCTGGATGGTGGGGAGAAGT